CCCCAAAACCCCAAAACCCCAAAACCCCAAAACCCCAAAACCCCTTTTACAGAAATACGTGTTGAATTATTAAAAATTTAAATGGTAAAACAGAGAAAAGTCCAGGCTACAAAGGAGGATCCTTCTAAGGCATCGCATGAGGAGGCTCAGAAGCAAAACATGAATGTAAGTGCTCCTATATTTAAACTTTTAACTGTGGCTATATAGAAATAAGATTTCTAAAACTTTGATTATGCAAGTCGGTAGTAAGATCCTCTCATTCGTTATCAATGTGCTCACAGCTAGGATTGTCAATAAGGATTTATACGGATATGCTAATGTAACACTCCAGTTTTACTATGCCTTCATTCTGTTCTTCCTCAAGGAATGTGTCAGAAAATGTCTTCAGAAAGAAGTTGATATGGAAAAGTACACTTCAAAGCAAAGAGTTCGAGGGGCTTTGAACATAGTTACCACTTGCTTTGGAATTAACGTCATACTGGCATTTGCTACCTTTTGGTTAACCTACACTTGGTATAAAATCCCAGGGCTTGATAATACAGAATTCATTCTAAGCGTGTTCCTTTATCTTTTTGCATCAATTTTTGAAACTCTCTGTGAGCCAAGCGTCACCATAATGCTAGATAAGCTAGAGGTAGACTCAAAAGTATTTGTAGAAGGGACCTCCTTGTTTCTGAGAGGAGTCATTCTGTACCTTCTTCTGTTCCTAAATCTTGGACTGGTGGCATTTGGGCTTGCACATATGATCTACACATTGATCATGCTTGCTCTATATCTTTATAAAGTATCTTCTCTGAAGCTCAACAAAGAGAGCTACAATCTCTATACAATTGAAAAAGTAAAACTGGAGAAAGAGTCAGTCCTGTATTTAGACACCCACAAATCTCAGCTCTCACAGATGTCTCTGATAGGATTCTTCAGATTTATCCTTTCAGAAGGGGAGAATTTGGTCCTCAATATGACAAGCAACCTTACAATGGAACAGCAAGGAGAGTATTCCTTGATTGCTAATCTGTGTTCGATCATCTGAAGGTTCTTATTTAAGCCAATCGAAGAACTGGCTTATAATATCTTTGGAAAAGAATCTCTGAAAGACACACATATTGAATACATGTCCATGCTCCTGAGACATTTGTTCTTCCTCGGAATTGCGATTGTGTCGTTCACACAAAACTTCGCGTTCTCAGGACTCTTTGTGCTTTACAAAGAACAGTGGACTAATGATTCAACTGTCTCTATTCTCCAAGCATATGGAATTTATATTCTCTGAATGGCGATCAATGGAGTCACCGAGGCCTTTGTAATGGCCAAGAGTAACAAAGCTCAGTTACAGAAACTCCAAATAACTATGACGGTTAGTAGCTGCCTTTTCATCCTTGCAATGTTCTTATTCATCCAAGCGGGGCCTACAGGAGTTGTCTATGCTAATATTTGAAATATGATTTGAAGAATTATCACAAATATTGTACTGATCAAGAGCATTTGCACAACCCAGGAAGACTTCAACTCATTGCTAAAGAGTTCGATTCCTAACCCGAAAGTCATACTGGTGTTTATAGTCACCTTCGTAATTTGTTACTGGAGTAGGATGAAGTACGAAGGAGTAAACAATTTCATGCATCTAGCCATTGGAGCTCTTAATGCTGGACTCTGTTTGCTCGCTCACATCCTGTGTGAATTTGATTGGCGGAAATATCTTAAGAGTTAAAGATCAATCTTATATATTTATTATGGGGTTTTGGGGTTTTGGGGTTTTGGGG